CTCTGTCACAGCCCCTGACTTCAGAGTGGGCATGTGATCTGCTTCCCCCTTGACTGGTGCCCGTGGAGTGTGGACTTCGGGAGGCTGTGGGGGGCCTCCGAAGGCTTTTACGATGGGGAGCTAAGTGGTGAGCCTTGTAGTTCTGAAAGATGACTTGAATGCAGCATGGACCGAGAGCAGGTCCAGAAATGGGGAAACCACTAAAGAGACAGCAACAGGAATTCAGGAAAGAGATGCAAGAGGTGTCACCTTGGGCCCCTGGGCAGGAAAGGCAGGCATCGATTAGAGACCCCTCCCCAGAAGAACAGGCCAAGGGTTGGCCTTTCAAGTGGGTCAGAAGTGAGCTCAGTGCTGTGTCCCTGCCCTCTGTTAGGAATTCTAGTTGGCTGGACCGATGGGTGAGTGGAGAGTCCTCTTGCCATTTTTCACACTTAGGAAGTCACTCGGGCAGGCAGGCGGGCAGTCACTGGAGCCCTTGAGACCTGGGAGATGGCAGGTTGCAGGGACTACTCATTTGGAATTTTTCCATTCCACCACCATCCCTCCCTATCTTGCTGAGAACTTAACCTCAGGTCTGAGACCTGCAGACTTGGCCCAGCTAGCCCTGGCCCTCAGGGATGGAAGAGAAGGAGGAATTGAGATCAGAGTTCTCACTGAGATGCGCCAGGTGGTCTAGAAAGACCGTGGCACTGAGCTGCAGGCATCTTCTCCTGTTGTTCCAGATCTACCACACTGTGCTGTGAATCAGAGGAGACACAGAGCAAGACCCTCCACCAGAGGGGGGAGTGGGCGGAGGCAAAGAGTGCTAATATGAGGAACGAAGTAGGGGCTGGCCTTTCTGAATCCTCACTACGTGCCTTCCAGGCACCATCCCAGGCAATTCAAAAGGCATCAGACTGAGGGCCGCTCCCCTGCCCCCATACCCCCACCCTCCCCTTGAACCACGTCTGCCAACGCCAACACCCTGGACGGTGCCAAATCTCACTGCCTTTGCACACCAACGCCCCTGGCAAACTCCTCTCTGACCTTTCTTCACCGGCTCCCGCCCAGGAAGGGCTCCCTCTGGGCCCCCAGCCAGCTCTATAATCTGAGCTTCCTGGAGGGGCTTAGTGTCCAGCTCTCTCCTATAGCCTGGGATGGAGCCTGGTACTGAGAGGGCAGTCAGACACTGTCCCACCCCACTTCCCCATCCTGCTTGGGGGAGCACAAAGGCTCCCAGGCACTGCCACCCTGGTGAGGATGGTGGTGCTGCCAACACAACAAGGCACCCAGAGCAAAGTCTAGGGCCCAGAGCAAGGCTGGCATGAGCCAAGGAGAAAGCAGATCACGAGCTTGTTCCAAAGTCTGACCTGGGGCTGTGCCAGGGAGTGACAAGGTGATAAAAACAGGATTTCTGCAGATCAGGCCTCAGGGGCACCTGCGAGGGCCTGGGGCGGGGAGTGGCGTTTTCAGAGCCCCAGAGAGGGGTTCGCCAAGTCGTTCCAGGCCAGACTAGGGTTGGGAGTCCCTGGGGGAGGGTACCGGGCTACCTTCCAGGAGGGGAAGACGGGAGGACAGGAGTCGGGGCAAAGTACCGTCCAGTTGTCCCGGGTGAGATGTGTTTGAGGAGCCCAGGGTTCACAGAACTTAGGAGTGTCAGGGGCCGGGTGTGGGGACGAAGCTGTCGGTGCTGCCCGCGGTCCGGCCGGGCCGGGCGGTGCACGGCTGGGGACAGGACCAGCTCCGCAAGGTGCAGGGGGCGGTCAGGGGCGACTGTTACCTCTGCAGCGGCTGCCACCCAGCCCGAGCCCCAGGTCGCCCAGGATGCTCTCGGACTGGCCGTCGCTGTACACGAAGGCCGTGTCCACCTCGGTGTGGCCGCGCTCCAGAAAGGCGCGCACAGCCGCGGCGCTGGCCGGCGCGTCCATGCGGCGCCCCATCTCCATGGCGCCCAGCACTGTGGCGGGCCGGGCCTGAGACAGCTGCCGGGACATGACGGCGGCAGCGGGGACTCCGACAGCCCAGGCGTCGCGCGGCGGTCAGCAGCACGAGCCTCCGCTGGGGCCGCGGTGGCAACTTAGGGTCCTGGGCGGGGCGA